GCACGATGAAGGCCAAAATCAGGCCAAAAATCGCAGTGTAAGCCCAGCATTACTGCACCTTTACCAGGGTACAGGTTTACAGCTCCACTTCGTCCTTCTGCTCATAATAGTAAAGATGTGTTCGAGACAGGAAATACGTTTTTCTGTTTGATAGCAAGTGTCTTTTTCTGTTCATGCAACAAGAAAAAAAACAACCCAAAACATCCAACAAACACCCTGCATGCAACAAAGCCTGTTCACCCGCGGTTGGTAAACAGAAACTGGACAGTTTACTACAGTTTTCCTAACAGCTGGATCTCGTCAGGAGCAACAAAGTGAGATCTGCAATGTGGATGTTGGTTATCGCTGACACGCCGCGTACTAATTTTACCTTGACAGTGCTGATGAGCTGGCCATCGATGTACAGCGTGGCCATGCTATTCTTCAGCATGCCTTTGCTCATGACCAGCACCAGGTGGTGCCACTGGCCCTCGGCGATCAGCTCGCCACAGCGGAATCGAGCGCAGCAGGGAAGGATCTCGTAGAAGGAGGCTTCTTCGCTAGAATCATCCGCTGCTTGATGGGGGAAGGCAGAGAGAAGCAGGGGGCAACATCAATGAGTCAGAGAGCTCCAGCAGAAGTGAGTATATTAGCTCAGGGTAAAAGCCCCAGAGAGGAAGCCTGTTTGGTCATAACAGGAAGTGCACATTTCAAGGTCATATTTATCAAATATAATCTCTAAACAAAACTGTATCAGCATTTTAAACTCAAATATCTAACAGAAAGTTTTCAATTCTTTTCTGGGAATATATACTGTATGAAAGTGCATCATCCCAAAAACAAAACAGTAATGGGTTTGGGCATACAAGCTTGAGATTTCACAGATTTGAGATAATTTTCTCCTGATGGTTCACCAAAAAGAATCCTAAAGCATGGACAAAGTGTAGAGGTCTAAAGGATGGTTGTGCAGCGGAGGATTATTAATTCTTGTGGTTATGCTGTAAACCGGGGTTTAAGTCTAGTGCTGCCACTTACAGTACGTCTGCAGCAGCTCCTCCTTGGTGGAGACGGTGAGCGAGCGGTCTTTGGCCGACAGCACCACAGCCAGGCACACATAATGCTGCTCCGAGGAGTTGGCCCGGCGGACGATGGTCAGCAGCCGCACCGGGTGGGCCTGAGGGGATGTGCTGAACCTCTCCACGCAGAACCAAGTGGAGTAACTCAGGCCTGATGGGGGAGGAAACAGGCGCTCGCCTGGGTAAGAAAAGGGGGAAGTGAGAAAAGACAGGTTTATTTATTTATATTCATATAAATATATATATTTTAAAAATTCACAATTATTTTTATCTCAATGCTTTACATATTAAATCCATCCATCCATAATAGATGGGTCCACATTGTGGGGCAAACAGACAGGCCTCCCCC